ACTGTGGTGTTTTATTGGACAAGTCATTTCTACTGAACAGTGAGAGTGATATGGCACATTCCTGTTGCTCTGACTAGTTCCTTGGGGTTTATATGGAAGACCAGATGGGATTTTAAGAAGAGACTGGAAGATGCCGTAGCAAATGGTAAGTACTGTTTGCTAGATCTTCCACAGCTGGATTCAAAATCCAAGGACTGCTTCTGGCCAGGTTCAATAGCACGGGACTCTTAACCAGAAGCGCCTGTTCCAGCTTGTATGGTATATTTCAGCAGTGCCATTACCTCACAGTTCAATGAAATAATCTTGTGGAATCAAAGCTGTTCTAGAACTCAAGATGTATAACACCTTACATGGCTGCAGCACAAAAAAAGATGGGGCATAAGGCTTGCTGTATCTTATTACTAGTTTCATCTATTTTGGTTGACATTTCCTGTGAGAATAAGCTTGTCTTTTTCAGGGCAATTAATCATGCCTGCATTGCCAACTTCCAAGACTGCATAAGGTGCTTTTATCTTTGTAAAACTATGTCAAGACATCATCTAACACTGCTAACATTTTAATAGATGCTTAGTGAATTCTTCAGGTATAGGAACTGAATAAGAAGACAAAACGAGAAAAAAGCAGAGCTAATGGAGGAAGGATACCTTCTATCTGTTTTGAACTCCTGAAAGGCACTGCTTGTCCACAGCTGCACTCTTGCTTGTGTGAGCATGTGGCAGTAGCTCTGGTCTCTTTGTTTCACTTTTCCATTAATGGAACTTCGAGCTGTCTCTGTTGTAGGTCAGGTTCACAGCATTTTGTCTCTGCCTTCTTCCATGACAGAAACCCTTTCTCTGCTTGGTTTTACTAAGGATACAGATATGATTCCTCAGCTGTGAGACAGCTTATTTTTCTAAGGTGGTATTGAGGCCCTGAGCTGTTTGTATCAGGAACTCTGCGTAGCCCAAAGAAATACACACCTATCTTCCTTGTTTAACTGGAATAGCTACATTTATAAAGCTGGGAGAGTGACTAATGTAGCAAAGCAAGTGCCAGAACCTTGAGGTTAAGAATTCTAGGCAGACCATTATATGGAGTTTGGATATTTCCCACTTACTTCCTTTCATCCTTATCAATGAATTCCAGTCTTTCATAACTACAGTGAATGAATTCTGGCCATTGTTAACTAAAATTACCAATGAAAAACAGATTGTATATGCTAGGTTGAAGAGCAACATGAAGGAGTTTATTTTTAAGTGCCCCTCTGATTATTGAATTTTTCTATCTTAACACTTCATTGCTATAAAAAGAGTTTACTCATCTAAAAACTTGCACAATATGAACTTCACATTTGTTTTTAAACAAACTGCACAGATCTTTAGTTATGCATCCACCAACAGATATAGCCACAGTTTTATCTGTCATGCTCACTGTCTTGAAATGTATTTTTTCCTCCCCCAAGTTGTTTTTAGTCACCTTTGCTACCACTAATCCAACTGACCACCCTGTATAGTTTTGGTGCTTCCAAAAAGAAAAAAAAAAGTCATTATTGTCAATAGTTGCAGTGGGAAGCATAGCAGAAGCGTAACAACGAGGCACTGAAATCCATGGTTTTTTTTGTTTTTCCTGAGTTTGCTGAGGAAATGGAAGTAAAAACAATTTTCTTAACAACAATTTAAGAAAATGCATTAAATGTCATTTTATGTCATTTGGTTACCGCAGACTGGAAACACTGAAGTTTTTTTTTTTCATCCAACTAAATATTTAATACAAAGAGTTGAGCCCATTGAAAACAAATATGTATAATAAAACTTGTGCTACTCCAGCTAACATTGATCAGTGGATAAATGTAATAGTAATGTAGTGATGTACTGAAAAGAGTCTGTGTCTGTGAAGAAACAGGTTTCTTGGCACTTCAACTGAAAAGCTCCTCACTATGACTGCAGTAAAAACTGGCTTCTGAGACTATGCTTTTATCTGGATGTGTGATATAACCCGTAAGCTAAAGAGATCTTTAGAAGTGCAGCAACTGTGCTCTTCTCTAGTGCTGTACGAATCATACTTCTCTATGCCAGCCTGCCTGCACCAACTTTGTATAAGTGTCACGTAAAGGAAGGTTTTCACATTCACTAAGAGAATCCCTGGCAGTATCACTCCAATTTTGATAACATACACTATTCCATCCTTTTGAAGAATTAGATCTTTAGTTCTAGGACCACAGATGTCTTCAGTACTGTGGTAATAGTTAATCTGTAAAAGTCACTTTTTTACGCTGTGGATGACAGAGCACTGGCACAGGCTTCTCTCCCTGAAGACCCTAAAAGCTGCCTGGACCTGGTCCTGGGCAACCTGCTCTAGGTGTCTCTGCTTGAGCAGGGTATTTGGAGCAGACGGCCTCCAGAGATTCCTTCCAACAGTAGCCATTCTGTGACTGAAGCCTAAACGTTGGGCAGAACAGCAGATGTCTCCTCCATGAATCTAACTTTAAAAGCTTCTTAAAAAGAATACTAGATTGAGATCTAGATCTTCACAATAGAGTCAATATTATTCCAACTTGATGAAATGGAAATTCAGACTTTGGGAAGATACAAAAATATCACATTAAGTTTTTCTAGCCATTAGGAATAAGATCTTAAATTTGATCAACAAAATTTATACTTAGAGAAACCCTGTTTTAGTCATCTCCAGAAAATAAACCATGTCCCAGCTGCTTTAAGTTGTTTCCAGTCATGGTGACTGGGGCTGATTGCTTCATCTAGAAGGGAAGAATGTTTGGAAGTAAGATTTGGATAGCTACTGCACTGAAGCAACAATCACCAGCTATAGGACAAACCCAGCATGCATGGCATACTGACCTTGTAATGCATCTGAATATTTCAGTGTGCTAGGCCCTGTCTAGTGGTAAGAGACATGTGGATTCAACGTCAAAGAGCTTCAAAAACAGTGACATTTATCTTGTCCTGCACCTGGAAGTCAGGAAAGTCTTGTTAGCCAGTTAATAAGCTAATAAGTTAATAAGTTAATAAGTGGGGTCTGCCCCACACTGCTCACTTACGAGGTATGAATATACACAGAAGTACATAAAAAAGCAGAATTTCATGGACAAGAAGAATACTGCAACACTAGCTTGTTAAATCTAAATCATTAGAAATATTTATATTGAGTTACATCAGAAATTGGAAAACATGATCCTCCCTCCAGCTCTTATCATCTTTCCTCACTGCTGACAAATTGTACTCCTACCAGATCCCTTTCTGGGCCACTAACTTCCATTTGTCACCTCCTGCTCCACAGTTGTACCTGCAATTTCCTTCCTAACTGCTGCAGGATGGTCTCTTACCTCAAAGGCGTGCAGGATCTGAGACACTGATGCTCGCCTCACTGAAGGTGCCTGAAGAGATGCTTCTGGGATGGGAAGCCATGCACTTCTTTGAGCTCCAACGCTTGGCGGTCCCAGAGCAGACCGTTAACTTCAGATGACTCAGTTTATTCCAAAGTCTAGTCTATATTGCAGCTACTTTGTTTTGATAGTCAACATAACCGCTCAGCATCTGTGGCAGTACTTTCTCTGCTTTCCTTACCAGAATCAGCACATAATAAAACCTTAATTGATTATCTGCGACAACATCAGTAATAACAAAATTCAGCTGTAAATTTGACAGAAGAGTCTTCTTCCTGTTATTCGAGATAAGTATCAGTAAGGGTGACTCCTGTCACCCATCAAACACAATACATAGAACCCGGACACTGCTTCTTGCATACACACTTTCAAACATGAATGCAGTCACTAGAGAAGTGCAAAAACAGCTGTGTTCCTAGCAGTGCTGCAAATCAGTACAGGCCTTGGGAAAGCATTGTAAAAAGAGCAGAGAAGCATTACATTTGTCCCCACTTATCTTGCATGTGTTAACAGTGTGCCATTTTGAAGATCATGGGAGGAGTTTACAGTTCTCTGTACTCCCAAGATAGAGATGCTTGTAACCTATGATTGTTTATTCCTGGTTAACAGTATACATTACAGTAGTAAATTTACCTAATTAATAAATTTAAATGAGCTGTTGCTTGCCAGTTGGTTTAAGGAAGTGGAGTCCAATTGAGACAGTATATCAGTGAATTTTTAGACATGGATTTCCCTGCTTCAGACTTTAAAAAAAAAAATTAACTAAGCTGAGAATCAATGTTAAAGGGACACTGCAACTTGCATTTGAAATGGGATGCTCAGAAGGGGCTCTGTGAACATTTCGTTCCACGTGTCTGATAGCAAGATTTCCTCATTTTCTTACAAAGTGCTGTTGTAAACAGATAAAAATTCTGTTGTTCAGGTTTAATCTGGATATTCCCATTGAAGATGGAAGAACGACATTTCTGATTGATATAGGAGATAGTGGACAACAGCAAACTCTATGAAATTTTACAGTGATCTTTTTAGGGTACACTTGGATCTGAGAGACAAGATGGCTCAGTAGCAGAGGCAAGCAAACCATGTGCTCAGAGCAGAACAGAGGGTTATGAGTTTTGGTCAACATACACACACTCATACACATACCAGCATCCATTTTTAGATAATCCCCACAACTGGGAAGCAGAGACTCCCTCAACAGGCATACTGTTACTCACCAATCCTTGAAAGATGACAAACCACTGAAAAGGAGAGAGAAGGACCATGCCAGCAGGGCATCCCCTCCAAAGGGCACTTTTCCTCTCTCCCACCACAGCTGCTTTCCTTTGATTCTGCTTCGATTCTCCTCAGCGTCTGCAGGGTTTGTTCCACTGCGCCCTGTACCCACGAAGCCAGTGTGTGACAGAGCCCAAGAGGAACACCTTGCAAAACAAGTCTTTGCAAAAACAAGACCAGCTACCAAGGTCAGCTCTCTCAACAAAACAAGGCATTTGCAGCCGCAGACACAAATATCGGTTCCCTTAAAACTGTCAGGATACTTGTTCCATCCTAGGATCATTCTTTATTCGGGGGCCTTCGGGTCCCTTGCACGTGCTCTAAGACAGGAAATGCTTTCACCAAATAAATAATACAATATAATAATTTATTGTTCTCAACTTTTTTTAATACACTGCCACAAACCTATCTTTCAGTTTCACTATGCATATCAATAGAAATTGTGTTCCTACCCTTTTATAGTCTTAGCACTAGCATGAATTCTTCTCATTCTCACATGAACTGTGAGAACTCCCAGGTCAAGAACTCCTTCTGGTTTGGAAAGCTAGAAGATATAATTACTTCAGCTGAAAAAATCAGTGGGTTCGCCCCATCTCAGAAATAGACACCTATGTGCAGGGATCTACTGTGACCTAGGAGTTTTCATTTACAACTATAGCTGGTTTATTCCATTTTTTCCCACTATATGGCAAATGAATGAAGACATTCTGCCAACATTGCCATGAATGTTAAAGGCTCAGGCACAGGAATGGAGCTGGGGAGGAGGGGAGGAGGGAGAGCTTTCCAGAAAACACCATATGCTTATCGTTGTCTCTCTTCCAGCTTTATATGTCCCAAGTGGCAGCATGACAAAGAACGCTCTCTTCCCTTGGCTTCCATTTGTATTTCCTCTTCCATTACAGTGCAGTTGTTCCACATAGTTTCTCCCGTACTTAGCCGTGGCTTGTGGAGGGGTTTGAGCTCTGACACCCAATTCCATTCCTCTGGCAGCCTGTTTGCTTCCATCTACACATAATTCCTCTTTCCCATACACCCCAAACTTAATTTGGATAACAGATTTGCATTACTCCAGCCTGTATCGTAGCTTTGGAGAGTTACCCTGTGCTGTTGCTGGTAAAACTGTGGCAAGTGCTGTCAGCACTCCTGTAGTACCTGACCTCACCCACCCACCCACCGATACACCTCTACCCTCTTCAGTATAAGTTCACCACCATGCAGCATTCAGAGAGGAGGTACAGAGAGCAGCTTTTCTGCCTTCAGAATTTGTTCTGTCCAAACAAAAGATCCAGTGACATGTCTTTCTGTTCTTCTTCAGACTGAACTAGCCGGTACCCCAGTAAGTCCATTGCATCCTTGCACACACTTTGAACTTTTTCTATTTTTTCAAAGGGAAACGTGTTTCTCCAGGCCTCAGATGTGCTCAGTGCATCTCTGGATCCAGTATCAAATGCTTGATCTCCTTTTCCCTTCCCATGGGTAATATTGTGCACCCACTTCTGAAGTTCTGGTGTGAAATGGAGTCCTGCAAACCTATACATCTGAGCAGCCTTTCTTAGTGGATCTCTGACAATGTCTTCGTAACGAACTAGCAGGTAACGATCCTTCAGAAAGCTGGGAACAGCCTGGCTGCCTGCCTTGTAAATCTCAACGTGGCTTTTGCAGATTTCTTGCATTGTGATGTAAGGTCCCAGTTCTCCCTTTGCGTTCTGGGACCCCACAACAATGTCACTGTCACGTTTCAGCTCTGCCACTGTATTCTCTCGGGACCTGAACACAGCCCGAGGATCACGGACCAAGTGAATTATTTTGAGGTTCAGGGATGGATCGGTGAGAAGTGGGTAGAGGACCTTCAGGTCAAAGAAGCGAACCTCCTTGATGACAACATGGCTGTAGGTTTTACAGGCTTCTTCCACCTTGCTGAATGAGTATCTACCACAGAGAGCTCTGCAGTTTCCTGCAGAAATTATGTCGCTGCGACTGAAGAAGTCACAGGCAGGAGGGGAGCACAAGGCTCGGCTTTTCTCCCACTGAAATAAGTCAGACTTTTTCTTCTCGCTAGACATGTAGGCATCAAAAACAGACATATCGCAGAGAAAGACTGACCTGACCAGGTCCCGCACCGCCATGTGCAAGACTTTGGCACTGTTCTGGTACATTGTAACCCATACATGCCATGCAGGCTCCATCAGGTAGAAGACACTGGGGTGCTGGCTGAAAAGCTGGCCAGTGAAGGATGATCCTGACCGCCAGGAGGAGAGAATGAGAATGTGGACTGCAGAAGATTTTAATTCCAGGGAGGCACTGTTGCTGCAGGTTAGGAAGTGGAAGTGGATCAGAAGAACAAACAGAACTGCCAGAATCAGAAGCATCTGTATCCTAGGTTTCATCATGGTTGAAAGGAACCTGCAGAGACAGAGAAAGGAAGTTCAGCATCACAGTCATGATGAAGACAACTGCAGTGAATTAGGCTCCTCCCAATCCCACTGCAGGCTCAGCGTTCTGGAAAGCTGCCACAGCACTATGATACTGTGAAAAACTACAGCACATGCTATCCTTCTACAGCCAGATGGAGAGACAGGTCTGTGGGGCAAGCTGGAGGCCAGCCCAAACAAAGCAGTGCTGGAGTCCAGCTTCTCACAAAAGTGTACATCACTTTTGTGCAGGCCACAGTTGCACTGAACTCAGACAGCCATGCCCATGCAGATTAGCTTCCTCTTGCTAAAGCAGCAGAGGTCTGAGGCATGACCCAGCTGTCCAGAGTGCAGACACGGCTTATCATGCTCTCTTCTAGGTTCATTACACTACTTAAATATTCCCAGTTAAAATTTCTCTAACCTGCAACCTCCTCCTTATGCCTTGCCTCAATTTCCCTCTGTATGGAAGCCTTCAGAATAATTTGCATAGAGGCAGGGAGCTGCATCCTCCCATGACTTCAGTTACTGTAGCACTGTGCACATTTCCAAGCGTAGTCACTGCTGCTAACCAACTAGGAACCAAACTTACCTCTCTGTCCAGCATGTATGCATACTTTTTCTTGTCTATCATCTCATGTCCATTTTGTGCACATTTATTGAGGTCAGGCTTCATAGGGCAGCAGTTACCACTTCTCAGAGCCAGGACAGAAATCAAGATTACATGTTATGCTGTGTACTGCCACTATGCACTACCACAAGTTTTATTTTTGTAACATCTTGCAAGGATGAGGCTGTACAGTTAGAAAGGGACCACATTCTTATCAACTCATGGACAAGAAGCCCATTACCTGGTGTAGGGAACCTGCTTTGGCAGGGGGGTTGGACTCGATGATGTCTGGAGGTCCCTTCCAACCCCTATAGTTCATTGATTCTGTGATTCATTTTTTTTGATCATATAAATCACAGACATATAGACTGGTTTGGAACACCTTCCTCTAGACCAGGTAGCGCACAGCCCCATCCAGATGGGCCTTGAATGCTTCCAAGGTGGAGGATTTGCAACCTCTCTAAGTGACCTATTCCAGTGTCTCACCACCCTCCCAGTCAAGAGTTTCTTCCCAGTGCCTAGCCTAAACCTACCCTCTACCAGTTTAAAACAATTACCCCTTGTTCCAGTCACTACCCACCCTGATTAAAAGTCCCTCCCCAGCCTTCCTGTAGGCTCCTTCAGGTCCTTGAAGGCCAGTATAAGGTCTCCTCAGAGCCTGCTGATTTCCAGGCCAAAAAGCCCCAGCTCTCTCAGCCTTTCCTCATAGAGGAGGTGCTCCAGCCCCCTGATCATCTTCATGACCCTCCTCTGGACCTGCTCCAACAGCTCCATGTCCTTCTTGTGCTGGGGGCTCCAGAACTGGACGCAGTGCTCCAGGTGGGGTCTCATGAGAGCTGAGCAGAGGGGTGGAATCACCTCCCTCAACCTGCTGGTCACACTTCTCTTGATGCAACCCAGGATATGGTTGGCCTTCTGGGCTGCAGGCACACACTGCCAGCTCACTTTGAGTCTCTCATCAAACAACACTCTCAAATCCTTCTCCTCAGAGCCGCCCTCCAGCCATTCTCCACCCAACCTGTATCTGTGCTTGAAAGTGCCCCAGCCCAGATGCAGGACCTTGCACTTGGCCTTGTTGGACTCCACGAGGTCGGCGTGGGCCCACCTCTCAAGCCCATCCAGGTCCCTCTGGATGGCATTCCTCTATGTAGGTCTGTAAAATTCAATTCTAACAAGAAACATATTTGCATAGTTGTTCAGACCAAGCCTAGTAATAGCTGCAAACAAAGACCATTGTAAAAGTAAATCACCTATCAGCTTCCTCCTAACAAATGAATACAACATTGTTTACATAAAGCCTTGGCTTTCAAATGAACTTTGATGATATCATTTCCGTCTGGCACCAGTAATATCTTTCTTCTAATTCCCAAAAGATTTCCTGGACTATAGTTACATACACAATTAGAAGAAAAAAAAAAACAAAAAACCAAACAACTCTGTTGAACAAGCACGAACCTTGACCATTAGATACCCAGGCAGATATAAAAGCACAGAAACCACTATTTCTTTGAAAAACTACACGTGAATAGTCTGAATACATGTAAAAGAGAAAGGAATCAGTTTTGTTGGAAAGAGGGAATATGCTTTTACTTTCAGCAAAACTAGAGTATGACAACTGAATGTTGTATACATTTCCCCCAACACAAGAAGGACATGGAGCTGTTGGAGCAGATCCAGAGGAGGGTGAACTAGGTCATCTTAAAGGTCCCTTCCAACCCAAATTATTCCATAATTCTATGATTCACAGTGTACATGGATCATCATTGTGGCTGCTATTGGCGTTTACCTGAAAAAAAACCTCAGGCTGCAACCTCAATGGGGAATTTCTTCTCTCATACGAGAAGCAGTGATTAATTTTACCCTGACCAGTCTGCTCCAGAAGGTGAGGAGAAGACCTAAAATGAGTTGTGTGCAGCCGCTGACACAGAATAGAGGAGTAGCAAAGAGAGTTAGAAGTCTAGCAGACATTTCTAGATCTGAAATAAACACTGATCACACACACTTATTTTTTACCACTAGACCTCTTGCTCATGGAATGATGGAATGCTTTTAAACCAAATTCTTAAGCTTAACCACATTATTTTCCTGACAGCAAACATACGGCACCACAAGCAGAGTGATTTAATCCATTTCACCTCGTAGAAGTGAAATATGACGCCCTCACAAAACTGCAGTGTGGAAAGACAAGAATCACTGAGACAATCTCAATTGTAGAGCAAAAAAGGCACACTACTACTGTCAGCTTGCACAGAGATAAGCCAGGATCTGACACAGTAGTGAGAGAGCTGCAAGGCTGGCCCGTGAGTGGCTGCCCCATGCTAGATAAGCAGCAGTTCCAACCTGCTCCAAAAGGGACCTGCTGCCTGCCAGAGCTGAGCCAATGATCAAGATGGTTGCACCTCTGTGAGAGCAGGTTTCAGAAAGGGAAAAAGCACTGCATGCAACATGGTGGAGTTTTGCTAACCCTAAGCATGAAATCACCACAGCTTTTATGGAAACACACAGAGACATAGGGAGAGCCAGTTCTGACAAAGAAAGAGCATTACAGAAGGCAGCAAGCAGTCCCAAGCACAGGTATGCGTTATAACTGTGGCTGGCACATCTCCAGAATGCAGGACTCTGGAATCTATGCATCTGGGAGAAGTGATCATACAGCTCAAACACTTTGCATCATGTGGACTGTGGCTTGGTATTCTACTAAATAAATACCGGGAAAATCTCCAGACCGGCACTGCTACAGTAGCACTGGTGTAGCAATGAGTATCTCGTGCCAGGAAAGCCCCAGAGATGGGTCTTCCATGGCAATGATGGTTGCTCATAGCTTTACTACATCCTTCTTCAATTTGACTTCGTTCGCATTTGCAGAATTAGAATTAGCACCTACCCATTCGGAGCAGACAATGGCATGGCTGGCACTAGTGGGAGATACTGAGAAGACAGTCTAGAGAAGCAGGAAATACCTTCTAAGACAACCAACAACTTCTGTCTACATGAGGAATCATACAGCACTTCATTTGCATCTATACATCAATAGTACTTGGCAAAAATGATCTCAGACTGCTGAGCACAAACAAAAACAGTTCTGAGCACCACAGCATCTGCATCAGTTACCAAGAAATATTTGAAAATCTCACCTCAGCATATCCTCTTGAAGCACTACCAGACTTGATTCAAGCAACGCTTCCCTGTCATACGTATACTTCAGCAGTACACACTATTTCAAGCAGCCTTACAAACACCTGCATGTGTATATACAGGCACTCAGCCTTCATGCTAGGCTCTCACACACACATGTACTCAGCTCTTATCTATACCTCACGCTACCTCCTCTACCTTTCATTTATGCCTGAGCTCTGAATACTGTGCCTGCCTACTTTTACCTGCCATAAATTATAAAACTCCACCCTCCACTAGAGCAAAGCATGGGAATGGCAGTTTCTTGCAGGAGCACAGAGGTCCACACATTGGTAATAAATGAGAAGAGCCGTGAAATTCATGAGGGCAACTGAAAGCTGATTTTGCTGAGATCTGTTGCAGGCTTCAGAAGAGCCTGTCTTTAAGATGTGGAACAGGATTGTGACCTGCTTGAGTTGATTTTCTGGGAGCTGAAAATTGCCAGAAAGAGGCAGCAGAAAAAGGAGCTGCCAGACTTGTCCTGTTAACAATTCAGAAGGATACTGGAGCTGCAGTTGGGCTGCGCCAGGTAAAGTGGTAAAGAAGAGCAGACCCGGACTGAGGAAATGCGTAATATTCTGCCACTGTGAGAAGACAAGTCACTTCAGGTAATTCCTATTCCAAGTATAATCTTTTCTTTATGCTTTCTGGTGAGATGTTGACCTCTTGATGGTGCCCTCTGTTCCTGGAGAGCTTACTGTGCTGCTCTGAGGACTGCTGGAGTATAAGAAATAGTAGTAGGAAAAAATACAGGCCTTTTCAGGAGGGAGAGCCTGAACAGGGAAGGGAAGGTCATGTTCCCTTTCACTTGCTTCATTACAAACACAGATCAAGCCCTGGTAATTTTGGGTCAGGAAACAAGGCTAGAAGCTGACACTTGTCCAGATACAGCCCTGCGAAGACGAGCAAGCGAAGTTGTGTGCAGTTGGGATCTCAGCTATGTGTTCCTAGTCCCTCACAAACAGCATCTGTAAGATGGATTTGTATGTATCATAGAATCGCTCCGGTTGGAAAAGACTTTAAAGATCATGAAGTCCAACCACAATCTAACCGAACTACCCTAACAACCCTTCACTGTACTGTTTCCCTGAGCAGCTAAGTTATGTCCTTAAGCAAAAACATCTGTGAGAGTTACAAAACTGACATCTAGGGTCACACCATTGGGTAGCTCCTCCTGAAGCCTAATTTCTCCCTGCTAACACTTGCATGAACAGAGATACACGAAACTCCTACTCCACCTGTACATATTTTGCCCAGGACATGCTGGCCTTTTGGCACCAGTATTCAGGCCCCACGGCAGCACTGAACACTGCTGTACAGTGCTCCAGTCACAGAGCTCAGACTTTTCCATTCGCACAGATCAGAAGTACGAGACGCTTGGCTGAGCTTTCCAGAAGGCAGCCTCTGTGGCATAAGCAGTTGCACAGAGGGGAAGAATGTACTCTTCCTTGGAGACAAGGCTTGGGAAGGCACATTGTTCTGGCACTCTGCCCTCCTAGAAACCTGCACATTGTGGAAAGTGAAGGAGAACACTCTGGCATTTGAACAAAAGACCTGCTTCTCCCTGTATGTCTGACTGATAAGCTTTAAGCGACAGATGAAGCAAAGCTTTAAGCGTATAGAAGTCAACGTGTGCTTAATGGCAATTAGCCTCCTACTACTTGGTCTTGAGCAACTTCCTTCCACCTCAAACATGAGGCTGACTGTATTTCTGTTTTCTACTCCATTCCTTGATTAGAAGTGTTTTCTAGGGACTTGGACTTGCAAGCCCTGTGAACTGTCATTTCTTATTTCCCGAAGGAGAGAGGCACACACAGGCACATCTGAACCATTGTAGCAGTAATAGGAATAGAGTGAGAAATAGCACTGAAGGTATGGCCTAGAGATACTTTTTCAGTTCTGACGCTGTAGTGCAGGCACCCCAAAGGCATGTCTTTAGTAGTCTAATGAGAGAAACAGACATACTTGGAGAAGGAGAACTAGCTCAGCTGAAAAGCCTGATCAAATTTTGCCCTGTGTTCTTCCATCATCAAGAGCAGCTGCCCAAAGAAGAGAATATGCTTTCCTCCATGTGCGCTCCCACAGCTGCAGCGAGGTTTGGAGTACTTGATTCACCTATCCAAACACAGATGTTCAAAACAAGTTAGAGTGATGTCCTAGCAGTTCATGTTTCTTTCCATTGACTATGACAAGAGGAGAAGGTGATATTTTTGAATAGGCATTAGTACTGAAGCTGTGTAATAAAATCAGTTGAGAGTAAAGTGGTCTTTGTATTTCATAGCACCTAGGTTTTTTGTTTTCACTTGTCCAGACATGCTTTGAACTCGCTGGTTCTTCTGGCATCTACAGTACTCCCTGGCAATGAGAACGTCTGGCTGCACATTGAGAACTACTGCCCTCTGTTTCAAACCTAGCATATTACAACTGTATTTAATAACATCAACATTTTTGTATCAAAAGAGACTAAGAACAATTTCTCCCTATACACAATCTTTACTGCTAGCCAGAATTTTAGCAACTGCCCTCGCATGCCCAGGAGAACACATTTTCTCTTATTCTGTATTTATATATGAAGCAGGTCATGGGAACAATGCTGCAGAAATCTCTCCACCAATTGCAAAAGGAGCTCTAGTGCTTAAGTCAGTGGAAGAATATTAAGAATACGAACCCTGGAGCCATCTGTCACACACAGGAGCACAACTTTATGCAACATACAACTGATGAAAGCCCTTCATACATTCTGTACCTTTTTCCCCCTCTTCTTCAAAACAAACTCCTCCACTTCAAGAGCCGTGCCCTTGGGAACACCCTCCTTTGGAGAAAGCAATGTTTACTTGCTGATAGGATTCCGGGCATGGATGGGAGGTACATTCTCTTTTTAAATGGAAGTTTGTTATCCTGTGTGGCTCAGAATCATGACTTCAACCTTGGAGATTCTCAAAGCTATTGCCTTTTTTTTTTTTTTAAATCCTCTTGACAGAAGGGCAGATTTAGGCTACAAGTCTCACTGTCATGTGTTTGCTAATATTTATTTAGAAAGATCAGTTAGTTCATGACTCATGTTTCCTGCATCCCAGATCCATAAAATCAGGAGCTACCATGTGAATCAATGCAGTGACTGTGGACTTGCAAATGCTTGCCACAGAAAGAGATCTCTGTCTCAAGGCAGAGGAAGTTTAGATGTTCTCTAGCTGAGGTGACTAAGGCTGTAGAGGACAGAGAAAGTTTTTATCTGCAAGATCTGTGACAGAAAGCTACAGTGCAGCTGCTCACATTAAGGCCTGCTAACCCCGCTACTGACTGCTGGATTTTAGCATTTACAGGGAAAGCCTGGCTCTTTGATACTAGTCGGAAAAAAAAAAAAAACAAAAAAAAAAAAACGGACCTGCACTTCAATTGCTTGATTGCTTGTTGCTTTCATAGGGCTGAGGGCAGCAGAGCAAAGCAGAATTCTTTGGCTTTTGAAAAGAGATATTTTTGGTAGGGATGCTTTATACATCCACTCTCGTTCTCTGGTTGCATTAGAATTGGTTGTTCATAGGAGGCGGAAAGGAAAATCCACAGTCAGGCAAGTGCCAGAATGCATAGATGCAATGCCCACACTAAATGCCAGTTAGGGTTGGTTTCTCCTGAGCCAGAGCAGAACCCACTCCATCTGATTTCTAAAATGAGGAACAACAAGGGAGATAACTTAAGTGGAGTCCTACATGAGACATAGCAATTCTCCATAGCAATTCCCTGGCACAGCCTGGTGTAACACTGGATTTCTGTTGCTACAGCTTTTTTCTTGTGTTTGAGATAAACTGTAAAGTTATAATCTGAATTATAAACAGTTTAAGGTAAATATACAAGCCTGAACTGATACAGTCTAGTCCCAGAAGATAAACTTGATCTTCAGACTTTGCTCCCATTTAGCTCAACTATTTGCCTAAAACACCAAACAGTTTAGGGAATGACTTGCACCTTACTCATGGAACACTGATAATGACTGGGAGTAGGATTTTCAAGTAAGAGGTGCATGTGAGTACAGCAAGCATACAGGAATAATTACTCAGAGTTGCAGTAAGCAAGAGTAAAAATGCTGGCTGATTCTTCCACCCATCCTGCTTCACCCATATGTGAGTGAATCCTTCAGCTGGGTTCTCAGACTGAGGGCTAACATATAAGACGCAACCACAACCTTGTCCTGAACAGTTGTTAAGTGTAGCTAGCCAGCTTTCAAGTGACAGTACCCCTGCTGACAACGAGTCTTGTGTGCTTGTTCGCTCAATAGCAAGACTTGGCCCACACTGAGCCTTCCTTTTCCACAGCTCCTCTACTTTCTCATAGTCTGGTTTCAAAATTGCTCCTAGTCACCTTAAGAAAATGCTGTCCCCCGGCCTCCTGCTACCACTTCCTCTTACACCCATTGTCTTTCCTACAGTCCTGGACACTTCACTTCATGGAATCCTGTCCATATCTCCCTTTGACACACTGAATATTTTCTTCCTCCAATACTCATGGATAATACTACTGAAGGAGATCGGCTCATCTGCTGTCAAGTTCTGACAGGGCCTACATGTTCAACTTGGACAAATGACGTTATGTGCCACCCTTTACCTCCAAACAAGCTTTGCACAACCAGTTTCCCCATAGCATTTTGTTCCCCCCGAGCAATGCCAGGACTTCCTCGGTCATACCTTGATTATCTCCATGCAACCGCCCAGGTTCCAAGACAAACCTAAAAGGATCCGGATGCATTCTGCTTTCGAGTGGAGAGCAGGCTGGTCCAAGACAGTCTCTCACAGTCAAGGGCCATAGCTTCATGGTGGGAGACAATAACTATTCCAGGCAGCAGCCCACAAAGGAACAGTCAGGACTGCTAGAGGAGACAGTAGATGAGGAGAGTGGGCTGAATCCACGTTCTTAGGGCACCTGGATGCTGATGGCCTAATTGCTGGCAGGTGTGATTGAG